CGGGCGATGGGTACACCGACACGGTCCTGACCAAGTGCAAACGCCAGATAAATGTGTGGCACTGCAACCGAAATCTGTGACACTGGAACCGAAAAAAGGGTCTATTTCTCTCGGGTATCGTAAGCTCACCTTGAGAGCAGCGTCGGACGTGTACTCGTCAAGGATAACGCCAACAATGTACGACATGAAGCTCCCGGCGATCGTGGTGAAGAAACTGTAGTAGCCGATGCCCACACCTCTGCAGACCAGGCAGGAGATGAGAGAGAGGGAGAGGGAGAGGAGGAGACAGAGAGAAGCAAAAAGAGACGGAGAAAGGAAGAGAGAGTTCTCTAGGTTAGTTGAGACAGGGAGGGCAAGAGGATGAACGGACAAACACCCCCCGCCTCTAATTTTGTACAGTAACCAAACAAGGTCAACAGCATCACCCAACGCAAAAATGCGCCTCCCTTGGCCCAGCTTGGATTTGTGCGGCCGGTCCGCCTCAAATACGTGATTGGTTCAAAACTACAGGGTGACTGCGACACTCGTTGCGAAACAAAAGCCAGGAACCATCACGACAGGTACCAACCAAGAGTCAGTTAAATCGACAGGTGAGACCATCACTCAGGGAGTGAACCCTGGGAGCGAACGAGGTCGCACCGCACCACTGTTGGACTCATATACACGCATCTCTTTCTCGGAGAAACGCCGATGCATGTAGTATGTCCAAGTCAACGGAACTGGTGTGTAACGTCAACGTCCCTTGCAAAGCAGTGGACAAAAAAAAAATAGAGGTGTTCGATCATGGGCATAGTGCTGTGCGGATAGGTTGCGTGTTGAGGGAGACGTACCGCACGCGGGGAGGGAGGGCCTTCTGGAGGACAGAGATCGCCGGGCCGAACCAGCATTCCGCCACCAGGTCTGCACGTGAAGAGGCGCAACAATAGTCACGGAACAGTCCGGAGAACAAAAAAACGCATGCGAAGCCGGTTTAGGAGAAGGTGGGGCCGGTCAAATCGACTGTTACATCGGGGATGAGACCAGGCCAAAGATCCGGTTTAGGAGGATGTGGGGTCAGTCGAATCGACGGGTGTATCGGACATGAGACCAAGCGGTAAAATGTGGAGCCAACTCGATGGTGATGTATACGGTAGGGGCTGAGACCACGCGGAAAATGCCGAGCCGGTATAGGAGAATGTCAGTCAAATCCACCGATGAGACAACGCGGAAAAGGTGAAGCCGGTTTAGGAGGATGTAGGGTCAGTCAAATCGACATACTTCCTCTGTCACATAAGTAAAGTCCGTTATGATTACACGGCCATTTAGCCGTGTCCGATGTCTTAGGCGATACTTTTTTTGAAATCTTGAGCGTTTTTCGGGTTGAAACCCATATTTCTTTTTTTTTCTTGCGCACTACCCTGCATGCACTAGCGGCTTACAAAAAAGTAGTCAGGCCAAAAAAGGCCGTATTTTGCCCCTTTCGATGAAGGGTGGGGGTGGGGGCACGAAACGAAACATACCAAAAAAAGACAAGAATTATCCCGAACCCTAAACCCAAGGTTACCTCTACTGAACGGTCCATTTCGCGTCCTCCCATACAAAAACCAACATAGTAGTGAACCCACACTAAAATCAAGACATTTTCGAGTCCCACACTAAAATCAAGACATTTTCGAGTCCCACACTAAAATCAAGACACTTGGGGACGCCACACTAAAATCAAGTTACTTGCGGGGCAAAGCCGACAGGCGTAGGGTCCTAACCCTACCCCCCCCTTGTTTTCAACGACGCGTCCGCCCAATGTTTTCTGGGGTAATCACTACCAACGCCGTACCGCTCGGCGAGGGGGCCTAGAAAGCCCTTGGGTACCCTTTCTTTGCCCGGCGGAATCGCCAACGCTATCTCCACCGCCATGGCGTACCGACGACCCAACGATACTTCCGCACCCCGCTTACGACGTGGGGGTGTCTGGGCGTCGTCCCCCATGATAGCTACGTCGTTGTGGTGGTAGTGGGTGCTCACACAGCACAAAGCTGCAAATATTCTTCAAAATATTCTCAAAATGTTTTCAAAATATTCCCAAAATATTCGCAAAATAGTCCCGTATTTGACACACTAATTCTCAGTAATTGTGAGTCGGATTTTTTTTTTTAAAGTTATGTGCGTAACAAGCGCTTTCCAACAAACCTAACTAGAGCTTCAGGCACACCTTGGCTGGTGAGGTATGTAAATTCCCCCAGAACGGACTTTACTTATGTGACAGAGGAAGTATGAGATTATCACCCTGGGAGTAAAGCCTAGGAGTGAAGGAGGTCACACCGCACCACTATTGGACTCATCCACACGTGTCTCTTTCTATCTGTCTCTCTTTCATTCTGTCTATAGTACAACACAACCACAACTTGGACCACAAGAAAGAAAAAAAAAATGGTGCCAAACGATGAAGTACTATGTTGGAGAACTCAAGCTTTTCGCTCCCAAAACTATCAAGTCTGCAGAACAAAAAAACTTACACTCCAAAAATAGGAAGAACATGGAGGCGTAGAAGTTGGGGGTGACTATCACCAGGAAAAACGTCGGGGCTGCCAGCAGCGATCCGATGGCAGGGATGAGCATTCTCGCCTTGTGCTGGCCAGTCTTTTCCCACCTGCGGCGGTGTTTCAGGAGCGGTGGTGTGGCAAAAATGTGGTCATGCTACATGTTCATGGTGGATTGTGTATAAATCCCTTTCGAACCCTTACGGTCGAACATATTGGAGTAGACCTACTGTAGGGATTGTAGGGTAAGCTTGCCTGTGACCACGGGAATCGACCCCGTCAAGTGCTAGATGAACGGTTCTTCGGGTCAAGACGACAACAACGATTGCATGGTTCGTACAGAAACACGACCAACTCCTTCGCTCTATTCATACGCGATGAGCCCAGTCGCTCAGACTCGGCATTTTCGAGGCGTGTTGTCGTTAGTTAGTAAGCGTGTCCGCAAGAAAGAGGTTGTTATTCCTTGCGTGGGAAAGGGTCCGTTGAAAGCTACTGCCGCTCCCCCCAAGTGCCGCTCGGCCCCCCAAGACACGCCAACCGTCCCACACTATCCCATGGGCGCGAGCCCCAGCCAGCGCTGTGTAGATCCCAACTACGGCTGCAAAAATCCAACTACCACCTTGATCATCATCCGCTCCTCTCACGCTGTTGCCCCACACACTTGACCAAAATGCGGGGCAGGGCTCCCTCTCACCTATCAGCCGCGTACCCCCCGGCGTACGACGACAGCGCTCCACCCACCGACACGACCGACGCGTTCAGGTAGCTGTCTGAGATCGCCGAGAAGCACACGGGGAGAGCAGGTTCACAGGACCACCGGTGGTATGGATAGTTTTAGCGACCATCGCAGGGAAAAAATGTATGTCAGAAAATAACTGGGTGGTATTGGTGGGACTGTAGGGCGCGGGAACGTCCGCGCCCCACAATGACCACATCCACGCAAAAAAACAACCACGCGCAGTAGTCGTTCAGTGAGATAGGGCTAGCGGTGATGCCTCAAGGCCTCCACCACCTCCTGCAATCTCGTCTCACGGATAACAAATGCTATCTCGTCTCACGGATAACATGTGAGAGAGCTTTCCCCCTGATGGCGGCGAGATAACAAAACACACGCGAGAGACTTGGAAAAATTGCACTGATTCCTCACAGATGGTAGTGCACACTTTGCAGATAATGTTTTTGTCCGAGTGCGTCTGCAAACAGTACTGTATCGCGCTTCTGAATATTACTCACAAACTGCATGGTGTATTGCACCAATTACTCACCGTCTGGCTTTACAAGTGGAACTCCTTACTCACAGATGGTGTTGTCGTCCGGGTATATTTGGCTGAAGAAGTCCGGGAGGTAATAACCGATAGCGTACCCGGCCATGAACCGGACCATGCCTCCGAAGATAAGCAGCACGATCAGCGGGTCCCCGAAAATCACCTNGGGGGGGGGGGGGGGGGGGGGGGGGGGGGGGGGGGGGGGGGGGGGGGGGGGGGGGGGGGGGGGGGGGGGGGTGCATGCCATACTTGTTAGACGACCGTAAAAAAAGGGGTGAGGGGGTAATTACGTTCTGTATGCCTTCGTGTTAGGACAGTGACAGAAAGGGGGGGCATCGGAAAACTGATGCTTCTGCCCTGCTGAAAGCTGCACGCAGAACAGCCCATTTATCCGACCTAACTGTCCCTTTGTTCTTTCGACGGCGTGGCCCTTCCTTCCTTTCGCGTTTACTGTCTCCCGCCCCCCTCCCCCAAGTTGTAAAACAAGCCAATTCACTTCGTGAACTCGGCAACCAGCTTACCGGTTTTTTTTTTTTACCTCCGTTTTTTTTTTTTTTGGCGGTAACCATAATGGTGGTCGAGTAGATCATGTTGTGCGGGGTGGAGAACCCGCTCCGCGCAAGGGGGATGATCGCATCACGTTGTGTTAAAATGGTCAAGCACCCTCAAGGCAGTTACACAGTTGCTTACAACTGTCTCTGGAAGTGAAAGCACCAGAAAATNCCCCCCCCCCCCCCACCCCCAGGTCATTCCAAAGGGGACTACCCTCCCCCCCCTACAGGTGCTTTCCAAACACAAATGGAGGTATGGCTCAACTACTTGGGTGTTGGGTCATCATGGCTTACATGAAACCTTCGGCACTGGTTAACCAAGCGCACCTTTTCAGGGAGCAGCCACGCGATTGCAGGGATGCAGCCCTAAACGCACCACCGACCAACAGGAACGAAAGCTGAGCCACAACTTAGACGATGCGTGCAATGCTGACAGAAACACAGACGGACACGACACGCTATCTTTCCCCTATGCCTCGATCCCGCCCTCCGACCGCCGCAACTCCTTTTGCTGTCTAAACCCTACTACAGTGGTGGAGGTGAAGCAGCTGATAGACGACTGCCATATTGAGGCAGCCGCCATACCCAATGGGTGTAGAACAAACTTAAACATCCCGCCTACTGCTGTATGGCGGCAAACTTCACCCGCATCGTCAGCAGGGTGATCGCTATATCCAGACCGCCACCTGCGGGACCGCGACCGCTGTAGCCAAAACGCTCATTGGTGGGTTGGTGGGAGCTGCTGCTGTCTCTCGCATAGCAAAGCGTCGTTCTACGGATGTAGGGCAAGAAGACGCGCCCGCGTGTAATAGCAGGCAGACATTACCCACCTCTCTCGGGCGGTATAGTCCTTCTCCGCGTCCTCTGAAGACCCGTTGGTGGGGGCGTATCCTCCCCCCTCCTCCGCCTCCGAGGTAAGGTTCGCGGGAGCGGGAGCGGTCACGGCGGGCGTGCGCACGGGCTCCCTAACCGTGAAGCGCACCAGCAGCGACAGCAGCAGGCCGTAGCCGGCCACGGTGAACGCGCTGGCCCTCCAACCGATCCCCTGGGCCATGGCGATGCTCAGGGAGCTCAGGCCTCCGCCCACGTAAACGCCGAAGGCGAAAACTCCGTTGGCCTGGACAACAGCAGAGAGGTTGTCGCGTACATCAAGGAGGACGAAAGAGAGAACAAAATTGGATGGGACACGGCCGACTGTTGTTGTCATGCACCGGAGGACAAACCAAACCAGAGAGCAAAAAAACAGGCACTTTTACTTGTTCATTTTTTCGTGCTGACAAAGTAGACAGTAGAACATAGTGCGTGGCGGAAACAGCAGCAAAATGCAACATTGGCAGTTCAGGCGCATTTTCACGAGGGAGATCGTCGGGTGATACGCCAATGGTGTATAGTTCTGCTGTTTCCGTCGTGCATCCATGTACAGTACCTCATCCGAACCGTGTACAGTATTGCCCCTCTTCTGGCACGTGACCACGGAATGCGTCCGCGCCAGTGGGACCAGTACAGATATTAGAAGGTGCTGGGTAGAGACCGGCAAGATTTTGAATGTGAAGACGACGACAACAGCAACAACAACAACAACAAACCTGGGCCAACGACTCCGCAGGGAAGTAGTCCGCGATCAGCGAGTACGACGCGGGCATCGAAAACGACTCCCCGATGCCGAGAAGGATCCGCGACAGGAGGAGCTGGACGAAGTTCTCGGACATGCCGAGGCAGACAGTAGCCACGTTCCAGATCACCAAGCCGTAGAAGATGATGAGCTTGCGGTTGTACAGGTCGGCCGCGCGGCCCATGAACAGCCCGCAGATAACCTGTCACCCAGCGAGAATGCACGTCTTCGGAACAGCAATCCTTGATGCAGCACTAGAGAATATTTGCGGTGATACAACTTTCCCCGCAAACATGGTGCCAGATTCTTCCTTTGGGTGCAAATGTTGCGCAACCTTTTATGCCGACGAGAGATTCACAGAATTTGACGCTCAGATACGAACTCCTCTGGGAGCATGGTGCCTGTCCCTTTCCGCCTGGTCATTTAGCGTGTCTCTAGTCTCTAGCGTTCCGACAATAAACCCAACGAGGTATCCACGTATGCCACAAAGACAAGCCCTCGAATTGACCTAAACGCTCCTGGTTCTAGTTGGGTGTGTTGAGGGCATAACAGCCGTTCCCTGCAGTGCTACTGTGGGTTCCAACAGCTGCGATGCACGTAGAAGAGTTTGATGCGGGTTTTTCTGGGACCGTCTTGGCGAGCATACTACGTGCCATGTGGAATAGAGCGAAAGGTTTCGCAACCCCAACCCAAACAAGAAACAAAACCATACTATTCTCAAGAAGGCTACTGATATCTGTCGGGATCCTTGACCCGGCATCACAACGAGCGGTGCGCTGTGATGACACTCTTACTTTCAAACAACACAATTGTGGTAACCTCTTGCATTCTAACACCTCAAGTGTGATGAACCTCTTCCATTCTGAAACCTCAAGTGTGATAAACCTCTTGGATTCTGACACCTCAAGTGTGATAAAACCTCTTGCATTCTGACACCGTAAGTGAGTTACCTCTTGCATTCTAACACCTCAAGTGTGATGAACCTCTAGCATGCTAACACCTCAAGTGCGATAAAACCGCTTGCATTCTAACACCTCAAGTGTGATAAACCTCTAACATTCTAACGCCTCGAGAGCCAAGATCTTACGCAAAGTCGCTGGCTGGCTATCTGCAACGTTTTTTTTTATGTCCGTCGTTGCGCACAAGGAGGAGAACATGTTACGCTGGCCATCTGCAACGTCACGTTATGCGTGCGTGTCTTAAGATATTAAGCTCGCGATCTGCAAACGTAGAAGGGGTGTGCGTTTCTTACGTAGCAGAAGGAGAAGCCGTACCCCACAAGAAGACCGTACTCGCTCGTGGAGATCCCGGTCGCATCCGTGATGCTGAAAAAATCTTTCTGGTAGAGGAGAGGGGGCAAGGAACGGGACGGGGTTGTGCAAGAGGGAGACCAAAGGTGGGGGGAGGGAGTGTCAGAGAGACGGAGAAGTAGACACAAGAGAGGAACTGAGAAAGAGGCAGGCAGACACACGGCAAACCCTCCAGACCCCAAGTTTGACGAGGACGAGCCAGCGGATTCATCACGTTTGAAAAGAAAGCTGGAACACAAGGAAATGTCAATACCTGCCAATAACCAACCTTATATCTCATGAAGTAGACTCACGCGCCCCATATTACGTCAGAAGAATATCGGCTGCAAAGGAATACTAGTACCCGATGGAAAAAATCTACGGAGTGTGGTATCTTCAGTTTGCAGAGGGTAAACAGGTGGATCTACGGATGCCCCGCATACTTCAGGATACAGGGGCCGACAAAAAGCAAGGCATCTTGCAACGGTTGATTGACACCACAACTCCGCATTCGTAAAAATGTACGTGTTGTTTCTGTGTATGCTTGGTAGGGCACAGCTGAGGTTGCGGTGCTGTGGGCGCGCAAACGGGGGGTGGGGTGGGTGATATCTGCGGACCCCCGAGGTCGGTGATACGTGTTTTCCGTGTGTGTGAGAGGCAATTCCTCGTTTGTCCTCCGGCGTTCGAGTTCGGCGGCATCTCTCAAATTCAAATTAGCGCGGGGAGCACAGCACCATTCCCTCGGCCCTCTCTCGACGAAGGCATAAAAAATCGATTTCACCGAACAGCAGTGGCGTGGTGTTTTCTTGAAATGCCGTGAACGGTGCTGCTGCTGCTGCTGAAAGCGTGACGGAGGTACCAGGCCGTATGAGGCCGAGCAACACAGTGTTTGTATGTGCACATACATACAACCATGGGTTGCATCTGCATCGGAAATAGCCGAGCCACGATGATGATGGGATTTGTTCCATCCGAATCACGTGGAGCAAGTTAGTGATAAAAAAAAAGTAAATACGCTTGCTTCACCTCTAGATGAAACACGGGCCCATTACATGCAGCCTCATTAGGAGACATAAACACAAACACAGAACGACTATCCATTCGAGCGAAGACCACAGTCGAACGGGATGTGTTGAAGCCTTGCTGGTTGGTTTGTGTGCTCCTTTGCACCTACTACCACATACCAAATGTGCCACCGAACAGCTGCAGATGCGGCACGAATTATACCGCAATTTCTTTAGCCGATCGTTCGTAAGTGTCTGTACTACATCGTCTCCCATTAGGTCTGTACACTGCACACACGCTTCGCCGAGAAAAGCTCATCAGTTGCACACATCGTTCGCCATGGGTCGTTGATAGACCCAGCTGTGTACGTTTTTACCGTGGGATTCCATACCGCGTCCATGTGTCCTCGTGGACGTGCGATGATGTGGCGCATGCAAGACAAACAGGACATGTGCAAACAAGATGGGTGAGGGAGGGATTTCATTTTCCTAAAGCTGTGTTTGCATCAATGGTACATATACATCCAAACATGAGTGTGCGTCAAACCCAACTTCAACAAGCTGAGCATTCGGCGAAGAGAAAGGGGGGCCATGTGGAGATCAGGATATCGAGATTCAGGAAGCACAGACACACGTACATTTAGGCTTCACAATGATCATGTCTTCCCCAGGGTTCATGACCATTCCGGTTACGAACACAGCTGCGAATGGTTGGATGAATATTAGGAGGATGGGAAGATGAGTCCAAACAGGCTCGCCAACCCTTGGTACCACGCTTGCAGCTCGCCTTGGTTCGCTCGGTCACGCTGGAAATTCCTCGCCACATCGCACCAGAGGGAAATCGCCAGCCTCCGGTAGGAAGTCATAGCTACCCAGAGTAGAAGGCTCCGTGCATTTCATCTTTTTCTTTTGAAAAGACATGCCGACTTCTGGTGCACAGGGGGTGACACTATCGCTGTTGCACCTATTGGACCTACGGCGATGGATGCGCTGGCCGCATGTGAAGATCGTGCAGAGAGCACGTCCACCGGGCACTACATCCGCCGTCTGTCTACTATATTACGTAAAGCGAAACCACTACCAATCTGCATATTGTTGCATCGTCTAGTTTGTTACGAATATGGATATGGATGTACGACCCCCCGACCGGATGTTGTACCGGGTGTTGCAACATACTCTCCGCAAACCACAGATCCGGATGTGGAGACACTGGGCGTGCCGTGACACCTACACAACAGCAGTGCAGCCGCTTGAAAAATGAAGTGCAAACACGCTTAAGCCTTGTCACAAGATCGTTTGAAGGGCCTCCTACCGCATCATCGTCGTCGTAATCGTCGTCCGACACGGCGTAGAGGTAGGTCAGGAGGTAGCGCGCCCACTGGTTGCTGACTGCAGAGCACCGTAATCAGGATGACGGCACGATGGCCCGAGACCACACGCGGACAAATTCGAACAACCTCTTGAGAAATTTTGCGATAGTAATCGTGTACGACACCACCCCTTCCGCCAGTGTCGAAACTCCCACGCGAGAAGACATGATGGGACCAAAGGTGGGGTAACGTAGACACGAACGGGGTCGGGGTGGAGGGCGCTCGACAAAACACTCGTATCCGTCTACATATTTAGCTACTTTTCGCGTGATGAATCTACAGCAGAAGCAGGGCATGCAATACGCCGGCGAAGGCCGGCGGGACGAAGGTGAAACACCGAACTCACCATACACGCCAAGAAGCACGACCAGCACGTAGCGGGCATAGTTTGTCGTCACCATCGGTGGCTTGTCCATAGAGCTGCTGTCGGAGAGCCTCCACGCTATGAGGCGCTCTTGTGTTGTTCCCCTTGAGCTGTACAAAAACAAAATGTACCAAGCAGGCACGCTTATGGGGGCTCCGTGAATATACCTGTTTTCCAGCCCCACTCTCAGCATCATGATCATGTGGGTGGGTGGTATTTTACGTGTGTGCGCTGTGTCTACACAGGTGCTTGCAGTTTCTCCCCCGCTCGCCTGCTGTGCTGTCCAGATACGGTGAGAGCCAAGGAGAATTAGCAAAAGCATGCTCTCAGGAATAGGATTCCTCTTGGGGGGTGCCTTGAACGAAACATAAACATCACCCTGAGGTATTTTTCTCCCCGAGGACAAAATAGGAATATGCAAGCACTCGGATGTACGATAGCAGCATACCGCCACCGAGTACCTTACAGCAGAAGTCTACAGTAGTCTACACAGCCGTAGGTGGACGACGTATGTACTGCTGGGTATGCCTAGCTACGGTAACACATAGACCAAAGTGCGCATGTATTCCTATCGCCGATTCTCTTTGGTGGTACTGCTGTGCACTGCTGTTGTACGTAGTTTTCAAGGGTGTTCAAATATTACGAGTGAAATATGTGCAACCGCCCATTGGAGCGCAGCAGTGGCAGACATGAATGTTTTGATCGCTGGTTGCTCACGAATTGTACATAACACACACAGCAGTTTACCAAGAGGCAACTCCCACGCGCTTGCGCGACGGTCCTACGAGTTATGGTGCACAAATAACTTAATCCTCTCTCTTCCCTGAATAAAATTGCATTGTTGTAGAACACGCCCGCGAGACGCACCGGACCACGTCGTATAATATTGTACTTCCGTCCGACCAACTTGAAAAGAGTCGGTGCACGTTGTCATGGCGTTCGTCAGCCGCCACCCGGCGTTGCTATCACGTTTACCTCCTCTGCTAATAAAAACTGAAGTGCCGAAGCGGGCCATGTCGTGGTAAGATTCATGGGAAACGAAGTTGGCGAAGCTTTGACATCTCTTCCGTTCTCTCACTTGTGTCGCCTTCAGTACACCCAACGACCTGCATGTACATAAATCCATACAAGGGTGCTTCGCCCGCCCGCCCCCCTATCGGGGGGGCGGTCTTGCGTGATACCCGTAGGTGAAGGGAAGGAAGCTATTAGAAATGAATTTTATGGTCAAGTGATGCAGTTCCATCAATTGCCCGACACGAACCCATGGGCAATAGTGGTTGTAGTTGGATGTTACCCCCGACATATCAAATGAGCTCAAGCTGGAACTCGCGACACGGCCCATGGAACGTCACGTCGACACATTGTGCGACGTTTACTTGCGAAGAACATGTCCCCCCCTGCTCTTGCGGAACGCCCCTCATCTACAAAAGGGCAAGGTGGGCGACTACTATTAGGAAATCTCATTGTTGCAAAGAGAATCAAGACGACAAACATTCAACCCCCCCGCCCCCCATCTGGCGGTAAGCCTGATGTGCAGCAGAATTAGTTGTGGGCAGGCCGCAACCCCCGACTGCTCCCGCAGTCAATTTGCTACGCACCATGTACCGTTGAACTTTGTCCAGAAACAAACCCAGTAGTGCTACCATCCGGGGTTACTACACATACAATTAAAACCCGCTTTCCTCGTGGGGCACACACATAATACCCCCCCACCAAGCTTCTCTAAGGTTAATGCCTATTGGTACGGCATTAAAAAAAGAAAAAATACTGAAGTCTCTCATTGGGCGGTGGAGGACTTAGAGCTAAGACCCCCCAAAACTCTCCGGCGTGAGATCCAAAATGGATCGGACGGTGGAGGGGGGGTGGGTGTTCGTTGCTTGAAGTGGATCAATAAAACATAGCGCCATCAAAGCAAAGCTTATTACTCACGTCGAGCAACCTGAACGACA